TGCTGCAGGATTAAAAATAAAAGTACTCTTTTTTAACTGGTGAGGAAAGGCAGTCTTCTCTTGTGCTCCTGTGACAGGAGGCCAGCTTGAAATCTTCTGTTGCTAGGAGGCAAAGAGTATGATCTCTCCGCCCTTGAAAAAAGGATGCTTTCCCGAAACCAGACCCTTGGTGGCCTAGCAAGCAGTGCACTTAGGTTCTCTGTTGTTTAAACTTCTATCTCTCTATCTCTCTAACTATCTGTTCAAATTTATATTCCACCCTCCCTGCAAACGGGCTCAGGGCGGATCACAGAAAATGCAACAATAAATAGTTAATTAAAACACATTAAACATAAAATTAGAAACGGTTGTTGCACAGTCTCCAATACTAGGGCTGGAGACCACTCTAAAGAATTTCAATCCCTGCAATTTGTGGACGAAAGACCCCTCATTTTACCTCATTATGAGGTAATAAGGGATTGAAGAAATTTTACCTCAGAGAGGACAGAAGTAGGATCTCTGAGAAACTGAGTCAGCTAGGAGGGCACTGTGATGCATGATTTGACAGGGCTCCCAGCTAAGCAAGGCCCCCATACTCTCTCAAAGAAGGAATAGGAAGGGCTGAAAGGGCTGGCCCTGGGAACCAGGGGCTTGACAGATAGGGAAGCCCAGATGATGCAGATGATACTGCAGGTGAGGCGGCCAGGCTGAGGTTCCTGAGGGACCCAGTGTTGCAGATCCCGTGTGATCATTCCTGAGAGGATTGCCTCTGTCTCTGGTTATTTTGAGGTATTCAGAAATTGCCATTACAAATGTTTTGAAAATATGCTCTGTGTGTGTGTGTGTGTTGTAGTTTCATCCTGTATACATCTGAGAACTGTGTCCTCTCTGCTGAAGCGTATGTTGCACACACATCTGAAAACCATGCGCCTAGAGTAGTTGTGCAGCCAGGCAGAGACCTCTTCTGAGAAGGCTGTGGCATGGGGAACAGGAGAAAAGGCGGGCTGGATTGCCCAAAGAAGGCAAATTCACACATGCCAAAGAATTCTACAGTGGCTGGGAGGAGACAGGCAAGATCAGGACCAGGTAGTGCAGTCTGAGCTGCAGCCAGGAGGGCCTTTATGTCACAGTCTCTGCTGGAAGGAAGTTTATATAGGAGCAGTAAGACCAATCGCACAAGGAAAGGGTGGAGCAAAAGAGAGGACTGGTGGAACTGCTTGAGGCAGGGCCTAGGGGAAGCCTTTCCTTTGCCAAGGTTAATAGAGCAGCTCGGAGAACAGGGTTCCCCTTGAGTTCCAGAAGGCTAAATTTGCCAGGCTCCAGGTGGGCCTGGAGATCTCCCACAAGTACAACCAATCTCCAGACAGCATAAATCAGCTCTCCTAGGGAAAAGGGCTGCTTCGGGGGGTGGACACCATGGTATTAATGCACTGCTGAGGTCCCTTCCCACCCTCCCCAGGTTCCACCCCCAAATCTCCAGGAATTTACCAGTCTGGAGTTAGCAAGTCTACGGAAGGCCCTTTTTTTTTTTTTGAGACCTTCTGGAGTTGGCAGGGTTGATATTCACTACTGAAACTGTTTGGCACAGCTGGTCAAATACCGCCCAGACATCTCTTGCAGTGCATTAAGGCAACAGATCAGGGCCGTTGGTGAATTTTGACAGCTCCCCCCCCCTCCATCCCTCATGACGTAATTATGTCTTTGATTGGTCTTCAAGGCTGAACTCCACACCGGCATGTTGCCGCAGATCCAAAGCACGGCTCTCCGGGGCGAGAAACTCCACCGCGTCTTCCATTATGTTCTCGACAACCTGGTGAATGTGATGAATGGATATTGCCTGCCGGAACCTTTCTTCAACAACAAGGTATGGCTGGCCACTTCTTTTCCCTTTGCTCTGCACAACATTGCACTAAAACGTTCTTGTCTCTTTACAAAAGAGTTTTCCTGTCGGGAATACAAATGATAGAGTGGGGAGCAAAATTTAGAGTTGCGTTGGTTGGTTTGGGGAGCACGTTACCTGCCTTTTCAGACACATGTCAAAGGATTTATTCATTTAAAAGATTTATATACCCACCTTTCTCCTGAGGACTTCAGGACCCTAGGTGGGTAATGACATTATAAAGACAGTATGATAAAACATTAAAATTTTAAAACAATAGATCAGGGGTCCCCAACCTTTTTCAGCCGGACACCTTCAGAATTCTGACACAGTGTGGTGGACACAGCCACAAAACGGCTGCTCCAGCTTAAGATCCTCATGCTGAGGTGGAAGCTGCTGCCAAAGCAATGTTTTAAAAAATCCGCGTTGCCAATCAGAAACCCCATGGCTGCTTTCTAAAAACATTTCACAGGCACCAGGAAAGCTATCAGCAGGCACCAAGTTTGGAACCCCTGCAATAGATGATATAAACGATATGATAAGACCATTGAAAACAAAAGATGATATAAAACATTTAAACGAACTAATCTAAAAACACCTTATGCCCTCCTACCAGCATGTATTCAACCTTTGCCCAGGCTCAGACTGCCCCTAAAACTCTCTGTAGTGCAGCCTCACCAGAAAGTTGGGAAGGTAGGAGGCCACTTTTCCAGGAGGCTGTTCCAGAGGCACAAGGAAGCCACTATAAGGACTGGAGCCCAGATTCTTGATGAATGTTGCCTTGGGGCAATGAGGAGGCAGCCTTCAGTCTCTAAGGGTGGTGATATTGAGAATCTGTTTGTTTGTTTGTTCCGGGTTCAAAATGCAACCCTGTATTTCCCAGTCGATAAGCAACAAATGTATTCAAACATATTTAAAAATAGTCTGCTCACTCTAGATCTGATTAAACAAAACGTTAAAATAGATACACAGAGCCCTGGCATACTCTGTAGAAAGCAGCTTACCCAGAGCTTTGCCGAAAAAAGAGGAAGCAGATTTCAGTGAATGCTGGATCTGAGAGATTGAGAGGTTACAGGGTGTGGCCAGTTTATGCAGGAGCTATTCCATAGGCCAACACCTGCCTTTATTAAACCGTCTACTGAAGGTGTGACACAGGGCACTTCTGAGCATCCTGAAGAATAACCTTTGTACTTTGTGTGTGTGTGGCGGGGGAATGTACATCTGCAGATTTTCACAAGAATCTAAATGCAAACTCCCAGGCCTACTGTGTCAAAACTTCCTAAATAGTGATTTAAAATTAAAGTCTGCAACACTGCACAATCTGCAGGTTTTAACACCAAATGTATTGTAGGTTTTGAAACTGGCTTTAATTTGTGGTGTGTGGACATGGCTGTGTGAATCAAGTAATGAGTGTTTTCTTTTGATTTTCTCCAACCAAGGTGAAGGACTGGGTGGAAAGGTTGATGAAGACCCTGCGAGATCCCTCCTTGCCTCTCCTAGAGCTTCAGGACATCATGACCAGCATCTCCGGGCGGATCCCGCCCAACGTGGAGAAGTCCATCAAGAAGGAGATGGCCCAGTATGCCAGCAACATCACTTCTGTCCTCTGCCAGTTTCCCAGCCAGCAGGTAAGGAGAGCGGTGCTAGTGCTGGGGCCCATAATTCCAGTCCTTTGCCTCTCAGTGGCCAGCCACGTATGCCCAGGAAGGCCACAAGCACACACTGAATAAGTATCCAGGAAGGATACGCCGTTACTCAGGAATGGATTGCACTCGTGTTATTCTGGACTGTCTGATTTAGACACTGCCTGAATCAGACCCTTGGTCCATCAGAGTTGGTTTTGTCTACTTAGACGGGCAGTGGGGCTCCAGGGTCTCAGGTAAGGGCCTTTCACACCTTACCCTTTTAACTGGAAATTCTGAGGATTGAGCCTGGGACCTTCTGTATCGCAAGCAGATGCTCTACTCACCAAGCTGTGGCCCCTACTTGATTGCACGATGACGTTACATTTTATTATGCTTTTTACACTGATAAATCTGTGTTCTCTTGTTGGAAAGTGGAAATAATTATGACTCTCTAATGTCTAATTGTAGGCAAGATTTTTAAAGATTTATTTATTTATTTTTGTTTTCATCTGGCGTATCTCCCCGTGGTAGTTACTGGCCCTCCTTCTAGTGTTGTTTATGTGTTTATTGTTTATTTTATAATTTGTACACTGCATTTTTAATGTTTAATATTTTAATTTTTTTTTAATATTTGCTGCCTTATGGACCCCGATAGGGTGGGGAAACAGCATAACATGTTTTTAATGATAATAATAGCTTTATACAAATATTTAAAAATATTAAAATATATACATAAAAATGACGTCTGGGATCCACAGGATGTTGAACTTCACACACAGCGTCCCATCCAAGGGATCTAATATATCCCTGCAAGTACCAAATTCTTCCTCTGTGCAGATGCTGAAGCTCAGTCGGGATCTGGCCTCGTGTACAGCTGCTTTCTAGACACTGTCTGGGTGCCGACTCTCTTTCCTTCTCTTCCTAGATTGCTAACATCCTGGACAGCCATGCGGCTACCCTGAACCGGAAATCAGAACGCGAGGTCTTCTTCATGAACACCCAGAGTATTGTGCAGCTGGTGCAGAGGTGAGTTGAGGAGGAGGCGCCACTCTCAGAACTGCTTGAGTCAGACTCTCATCTGCAATAAGTCAGGGAAAGTATTTTGCCCAGCTAGTGGTATCGTGGAAACTAGAGTTGGAGGGCTGAGTGAATGATCCCAGCCCGAAAGGTACACCTTCATGAGGGAACTTTTGCTAATATGGTATGGAGAACAGAACTGAGACACATAATCCAGGCACATTGCTAGATATTTCAAGAATCACTGTTTTTACAGAAAGCTGAGTGCAGAACACGTGTTGGCTTTCTTTTTCGTTGTTGTTCTTCCCTGTAAAGTGTAGAAAATAAAGATCTGGTTGATATTACTTTGATTAATTCCAGCCCTGTCTTGTCAGACCTGTTCTGCAAGGGTTGGTCACAGGTTACTCACAGTTTGCTCAATTTATTTCTGCCGTAATACTTGGATTTTGGGGGCTGGAGAACTCTCTCTGGGTATCTTTCTCTGGGTATGCGTGTGCTGCAGCAGAAAAGTCCAGCAATGAGGACTAGCAGCTCCTCCAGTTTCACTAAGGGTGTTGTTGCAGGTACCGGAGTGGCATTCGAGGGCACATGAAAGCTGTGGTCATGGATTTGCTCAGGCAATATCTCAAGGTGGAAACTCAGTTCCAACAAGGTAGGTCTTGTGCAATTCAGCATTTGAATTTTGGTCTTCATGGAAAGTGGATATTTGCCAAGGTGCAGCAAAGGAGAGCAGCTTGGTTCGGTTATTCTTCTTTCCAGGTTGATGGATATAGGTGAACTTAAGAAGAGCCGTACTGGATCAGACCAGCTGTCCATTTAGACCAACTTCTTATTTAACACAGTTGGCCAACTTAGTTGCCCTGCAGGGCCAACAAACAGGTCACGGAAGCCAAAGCTTTTGCTGATAGCTGCCTCTTGGTATTCAGAGGTCTAGTGCCTCTATAGAAGGAGGATCTCTTTAGTTCATCTTCTGTCTTCTAGCGCAGCCCCACATTGGGACTGTGCTTGTGCAGGCCAGCTGTGGTGGGGATACCAACCTCCAGGTGGGGCCTGGGGATCTCCCGCTTTTACAACCGATCTCCAGCTGACAGAGATCCGCTCCCCTGGAGAAAATGGCTGCTTTGAAGGGTAGACTCTGTGGCACTGTAGCATGCTGAGGCCCCTCCCCTCCCCAAACCCCACCCTCTCCCAGCTCCACCCCCAAAGTCTCCAGGTGTTTTCCGACCCAGGCCTGGCAACCCTAAGCTGTGGACATTTTCTTTTGTAGCTCAATACCAACCTCCAAAAGGGGGCGCACTGCCCTGATGGAACTGGCGTGTGCAAGGGTTTTCCTGCCTTTTGGAGAGCCAGTTTGGTGTAGTGGTTAGGAGCATGGACTCTATTCTGGGAGACCCGTGTTTGATTTCTCATGCCTCCACATGCAGCTGCTGGTGTGACCTTGGGTCAGTCACAAGTTCTCTCAGATCTGTTCTGTCATGAGCAGTTCTCAGTCAAAACTCTCTCAGCCCTACCTACCTCACAGAGTGTCTGTTGTGGGGAGGGGAAGGGAAAAAAGTTTGTAAGTTGCTGTGAGACTCCTTCGGGTAGTGAAGAGCGGGGTATAAATCCAATCTCTTCTTCTTCTCTTCTTCTGCGTGTGTCACGTGCTCTGGGCCCCTCAGTTCCATTTTTGTTGTATACTCCGTTGCGTAAGGGATTTACCGTCCTTTTTTTCAAGTTCCAGTTTGTACTCTTCTTCTCTGTGAAGATTCTCTTTTGTGAACGGTGTTCTTTTGACAGGGCTTGATAGTGCTTGTGGCCCCTCCATGGCGACCAAGGCACTCTTTAAAAAGTGCGCAAAGTGTGCCACTAAAATGCCACATAGCAACGAACATGACCTATGCCTTGAGGAGTCACATAATGTGGCCATGTGCCAAACCTGCCAACGTTTCACCCCAAAGGCCGGCTCTAATAGAGCCTCATGCTTAAAAGCAGCACTTTGGGAAAAGGCACTGCCCACCTCGCTTCCAGCCAAGTCAGTTCTATCTTTGTGACCTTCAGCTTTGATTCCACTCCCCTCAGCACTGACTGCTCCGCCTGGTTCTAGGCCTCCATCAGTTCACTCCGTTCCAACTGGATCGGCTTTGGTGCCTAAACTGGTCCCTCCGACGAGGGCTTCCTTGGTTGCTCCTGAAGTGCAGTCCAGACATGCACCATCAGCACAGGCAGAGCAACCTGCTAAGACACGTTCCCACTCGGAAGTGCTCGCTAAAAAGAATAAAAAATCCAAACACAGCATGCCAGGGTCACCCAGCAGAACGAGCGGTCCATCCAAGGTAAGTTCCTTGCTCCGATCTTCAACACCTGGGGCTATCCCAGGGTGGATCTGTTTGTGACGGCAGAGTCCAAGAAGGCTCCAGAGTTCTGCTCCTGAGGAGGCAGTGACCCTTGTCCTTAGGGGACACCTTCCAGATTGTATGGTTGGCAATGCTCCCTCTAAGCTAGCTCACACTGACTCAGCTTGGAGAGAGCCAGTTTGGTGTAGTGGTTAAGTGTGCGGACTCTAATCTGGGAGAACTGGGTTTGATTCCCCACTCCTCCACTTGCACCTGGCTGGATGACCTTGGGCAAGCCGTAGTTCTGATAAGAGCTGTCCTTGAAAAAGAGCCGTTTCTGTCAGAGCTCTCTCAGCCCCACCTACCTCACAGGGTGTCTGTTGTGAGGAGGGGAAGGGAAAGGAGTTTATAAGCTGCTCTGAGACACCTTTGGGTAGTGAAGGGTGGGGTATAAACCCAATCTCCTCCTCCTCCCCTCCCCCTCCCCCTCTTCTTCTTCCTTACTGTTGGATACATTGTTTTATGTTTCCCCCCCATTCCCAATTCTAATCAGAGTGTTAGGGAAGATTTTGGCGGACCACACAGACTGTATCTCAATAGCACCTTTTTGGCCATGCCAGATTTGGTTTGCAGAGCTCCTGCATCTGGGGAGAGGGAGATTTATTTGTCTTCCACTGGATGCAGATCTGACGGTTCAGGATTCCCTCTTACATCCCGATGTGGCACGCCTGCCCCCGACAGCCTGGAGCATCCGGCCTTAAGGCCCGCTGTCTCCCAGCATGCATTAGAAGTGAGGCATGCAAAACTTCTACTAGGTAGGGCGTCGTCGTGTTTGCGCAGTAACTGGCACAGCGTTTTCTTAAGGGACTCTCTACCGTTTTCCCCTCCTGCTCCTTGCGTTGTTCCACAGTGGTCACCTCCCCTGGGGTTGGCAGCCCTCATGAAGCCCCCCTTTGAATCCCTGGCTTCCTGTTTGTCCTCCAGGAAGGTTGTCTTTTTGGCGGCAGTGATGTCTGCCAGGAGGGGTATTGAGCTGGCTGCTCTCAAGACTGACCCACCTTTCTTTCCGGTTTTTGATGAACGGGTGGCTCCATGCCCCAGCTTACACTCCCTCCCCAAGGTAGTTTCCAAGTTTCATTTGGCGCAGGAGACTGTCCTGCCGGTATTTTTTCCCTTCTCCCAGCTCTGAAGCAGAATCATCTCTTCACACCTTTGACGTGAGGAGAGCTCTCCTCTACTACCTTAAAAGAACCAGACTTTGTAGGAAGGGTGAAGCTTTGTTTGTTTGTTTGTTGCTAGGGTCCAAAGAAGGGTAGGGACGCTTCATCCCAATCCACCTCTAGGTGGGTGGTGGCGGCCATTCATCCCTCTTACAGGGCTTCAGGACACCACTGCCCCCGTGATGTGATGGGGCACTCCACCAGGGCACAGGGAGCGTCAGCAGCCTTTCTCTGCAGGGTCCCTCTTGCAGTTATATGTAAAAGTGGCTACCTGGGCAGCAGAAGATAACTTTCATTAGACATTATGCAAATGTGGGCATCCTTCAGTCCCTGTTCCAGTGAGAGTCTCACCTCACTGCCATTTGTAGGTAAGCTCACTAATGGTCCCAGTGTGGGGCTGCAGTAGAAGTCGGAAGATGAAAACAGAGTTGCATTTACCTGTAATTGTTGTTCATCAATGTCTTCTGTGTAGACATACCTTCCCTCCCTCCTACCCCGCTGTGAGCTCTCACAGGTTCTTCATAGACTTGGGGTGATGCTTGTGGTGGCTTAGGGGAACTGAGGGGATGGGGCGCCTGCCCTGGAGCTTGTGACACATGCAGTGGGAAGGCCCGCACATGGACTGGCTCCGCCAGGGCGATGCACCCCCTTTGGGAATTTGGTATTGAACTACGAAAAAAAATGTTCATGGCTAGCCTGTACAAACGCAGTCCCAATGTGTCTCTGCACAGAAGATATCGCTGAAAAGCAGTTACAGGTAAGTGCAACTCTGTTTTACTGTGGCGAGTAGCCACTGATGGATCTATCCTCCATTAGGCTTGCCAGGAATGGCAACTGGCAGGAGATGGGGGAGACGGCAACTTAGCAAGGCGAGGCTGCGATCTTCATCCCCACATGGTGAAGTGATTTCTGGCATGACCTGGAAGTGATGGTGTTGTGCTAGGGTGGTGCTCTAGCACTCACCCCAAAACTCTATGGTTTCAGTAGAGTTTTGTGCCAATTCCTAGAGTGTTGCCTGTGGTGCAACACTGGTACTTCTGGGTTGCACTGGAAGTTGTGTCATCACATGGGAATGACGATTCCCATCCTCATTTGGCTGGCCTGTTTCTGCCCATGCCCAGTTGAGCATCGGCAGGCGACTGGCAGACATACCTGGGAGTCGCCCAACATAAGTGGGCAAATGGTAAGCCACGGATCTGACTAATCCTCTTTTAAAACCTTCTGCGCTGATGACCATCACTACATCTACCAGCAAGCAAATGTCACCATTCAGTTACTCATTAAGTAGAGAAGTACTTCCTTTTGTCCACCCTGAATATGCTGCCCATCCATTTCATTGGGTGCCCCAAGTTCAAGTGATGAAATAAGAAATATGACCACCAGATGGCAGCCTGCACTATCATAGATTTATTTCCATTTTGGTGTCCGTCCTGACCAGAAATGGCAGATTCAGTAAATTGCTAATGTTGGTTTATAACTGCGTAATCCGCCTTGAGTCATCAGTGAGAAAAGTGGACTATAAATAAAGTAAATAAATAAATATTTGTGATAACTTCTGCAAAGTACATTGTTAGTTTGGTTTAGAACACACACTTCTCACTTTCCCCCCACTATTCTGGGACGTCTGTGAGAAGTTCTGCCCCAGTGTCTCCAGTATGCTTGCTTTTTAGGGAAGTAAATTTTAACAGAATCAAACAAGAGGGGTAATTGTCCACATCACTAGAAGGCGGTGTTCCCTCTAAGATGAGCCAGTGTGAGATGTCTCACACATTTTTGTCTTAGCTCAGGAAGGATGGCTCCAGAGCTAACTAATTTATGCAGTAGCCAAGTGGCTTGCTCACCGCTCACAAAGTAGAATTTTTGCTCACAAGACTCCACACCTTAGAGGGAGCATTGCTAGAAGGCCCATGAGTTCAAGTCGGTACCTGAATTTGCTGGATTATCTGAATTGTTCTCTTTTGTCATTGCGGGTGCCTGTTACATGATGCACACGAAAGCTTATACCCAGAATTAAACTTCGTTGGTTTTAAGGGTGCTGCCGGACTCAATCTTTGTTCTATTACTTCCGACCAACACGATGACCCACCTGAATCTATAAATAAATGATTCATCCTGGAATTTTATCCCCCCCACCCATCCATTTTGAATCATCCAGTGCTGTTTTTGGCCACTGGATGGCAGAAATGCACTGCTAGGTCTGAAATTCTAAATTCGTGCAGAAAACGCTGCCTCCTTCTCTCCACCTTGTGATCCCCTTTTTTGAGAATTGGGAGATTAATTTCCACTCCAGATCAGTGCGGCAGATGACCTTGTAATGGAAAAGCCTTGCATTTTGGCACTGCTTAGGGGCCTCGACAGGTAGGCATCCTGTACTTCAGCATTAAGCCTGGCTAAGGAGGTAGAAGGGTCATTTTCAGACTCCCCCCTCCCCAATCTCTCTCTCCTCAAGGGTTTGCATTCTGAGGAGCCCGTGTGTTGTGGGAGGTACCGGGACATGTTTTAGGGGGCGCTGTCAATTTACAAGGGGCCCCAGGTAGGTCTCCTTGGTTTTCTCTTTACATGAGAACTGAGTGCGTTCCCAGTAAAAGGCTCATCTCTTCCCTGCGCCTGCTGATGAGGAAAGATGGTTATGTAACCATTGAATTAATTCATATCTCGCATTTTCATTAACACCTGTGGAAGCGTTGAACAATAAAATAGATCCAGGGGCTGTGCCTCAGTGGTTAAATACCTGCTTTGCATGTTTGCAGCCAAAAACCACCCCCCCCCCCCCGGTTGGGTTGCTGGCGTCTCTGGAACAGGATTATTGTAGGTATTGGCTGCTTTTACTGCATTGTCCTTAACTTTTGATATTGTTTATACCTGTCCACATTGTTCTCTAATTCCGTAATCCTAGTCCTATTACATTGTTCACTGGTAGTTGTATGCTGTTTGATTGCATTTTTAAATATCCTGTAATCCTACTTGAGTCTTGGTGAGCAATGTAAATAAAGTAGTAATAATATGTCAATTTATGTAGGGGATGGGCTGTGACTCACCGGGAGAGCACTTACTTGCAGGCAGAAGGTCCTGGGTTTGTCTGGCTGGTATCACAGGTTAAAGGGTCTGCAATAGCAGAACTGGGGATGACCTCACTCTCAAAAGATGCCAATGGCTATTTGTTTATTTAATTCATTTATACTCCCCCTTTCCTCCCCTAATGGGGATCCAGAGAGGCTTACATCCTTCTTCTCCATTTTATTCTCACAGCAACCCTGTGAGGTAGGTTAGGCTGAGAGAGTATGACTGGCTCAAGGACATCCAGTGAGTTTCCATGGCACAACTGGGGATTTGAACCTGGGTCTCTCAGATACTCTTAACCACTTCACCACACTGGCTGTCAGTAGTAGACCTAGCTCTTCGCATGCAGAAAGTCCCTGTCAGGTATGGGGGAAACATCCCGGAGAGCTGCTGCCAGACAAGACGGGTCTCATTCAGTATAGGGCAGCTTGTGGTGTATGCAAGAAACAACTCCCCCCCCCCCGCCATCAAGTCACAGATGAATTATGGTGACCCTGCAGGGTTTTCAAGGCAAGAGATGATCAGGTGGTTTGCCATTGCCTGCCTCTGCATCATGACCCTGGTATTCCTTGGAGGTGCCACCACTTAAAATGTCTTCTCCTGTAGTAACCACCCACCTGACCTCTGGCAAAGAGCCTCAGCAGATGGTCTCAGTTGTCAGCTGCTGGTGTGACCTTGGGTCACTCACATGGTCTTTAAGAGCTGTTCTCGAGAGAGCTCTCTCAGCCCCACCTCCCTCACAGTGTATCTGTTGTGGGCAGGGGACGGGAAAGGGATTGTAAGCCACTCTGAGACTCCTTCGGGTAGTGAAAGGTGGGGTATAAATCCAATCTCCTCTTCTTCTACTGGACCATCGGTCTCTCAAGGAAGTTATTATGGATTGTCTCATGTAGAAACTCCTAAAAAAGCTGCAGAGAGAGCTCTAGGAATGCAGTATGAAAAACAATCCAGCAAGGTAGAATCCTAAAATGTATCAAAAAATGGCAGCCGATCAGAACTGTGGCTAGCGTCACAAGTAGTCCCAAAGTCATGGTTCCCCTTGGCGAGACGTAGTCATTCTTTCCTGTATATGCTTTATTTGCAGTATCTTTGGGGGCCAATATATTCTTAATGCTTTATGTTTTGCCTGTAGGTCACTATGATAAGTGTGTCTTCGCCCTTCGGGAAGAGAACAAGAGCGACATGAATGCTGTCCTCAACTACATCTTCTCTCACGCTCAAGTCACCAAGAAGAACCTTCTCGTGACCATGCTCATTGTACGTCGAGCTCTTGAGAGCCGTCTCGTGGGTTTTGTTCATTCTTACCCCTGTTATATATAAGTGAAGTCATTTGGAGGAGTTAGGACACTGTCATCTGATCTGGCCGATTGTTGTTAAGAAAGTTCCTCAACTGTTTTACACATAGTATTTTTCTTTGACCAGAGCTGGGGTGTGGAGGATCTGTTGAATATTTGAGGGTGCCTTTATACCACAGGCAATGCTCCCTCTAAGCTGTGGAGTCTTGTGAGCAAAAATTCTCCTTTGTGAGCTACTGGCATTAAAGTTGTCAGTGAGCAATTTGGCTACTGTATAGATTAGTTGGCTCTGGAGACATCCTTCCTGAGCTAAGACAAAAATGTGTGAGCTGGAGGCTAAAAAACTCTGAGCTAGCTCACACTAACTCAGCTTAGAGGGAACACTGACTGCAGGTACACCATCTCTGCCTTAAGTGTCTCTTCAACGTCTCAGGAAGAGAGGTCTTCCCCACCTCTTGCCTTTCAACTGGAGACCCCCAAGCAACGCATGGACCCATGTCACTGTGAGCTCCAACTCCTTCCAAAATATTTGGATTGGCGTGCTATAGTTCACTGATTCCTTACACTGTTAGACGCCTTGAAAAGGCATGTCAGAGAAATTGCGGAAGAGATTCCTTTCCAGTTTATGGCCCTGAGCAAAATAATAGCTGCCGTGACAGTTTGAAGTTGGACTTGGAAGCCGATGACCGACGCGTACTGCTGTGTATCAGTAAGAAGCATCTATGACATTATCATTTGACTTAGATGGAAAAAAAAACCTTCCTAACTGCGGATAGTGAAACCAAGCCTAGGATTTGGACACTGAATTTTCCACACGGGAGTTGAAATGGAATGTACAGTAGCCAATTCCGACCCAAGTTCACTGTCACACTTGATTCACTTTGGCTGATACTGGAAGCCTCTAAGAACGCAGCTGTCCACAGTGTGCAGGATTGCCAGACCTCTCAGTGGAGGTGGGGGTCCACTGCCGACAGGAGCTTGATTCACTTGCTGTAGAGGGAGCACTGTGATAGAAACCACCCTGTGGTCTAAATTGTATAGGTCGATCTGCAAGAGTCCCCCTGCTAGATGGCTGGTCCTGGATTTCTGGGCTTGTTCTGGTTGGATGACTCTCTGAACAAAGATCCATATATATGGTTGGTCATGTTTTGTATCCACCAGTCTCACTACAGCCCTATGGAGACAGCAGCTGGGGCAGCATCTGAAGGTGAAGACTTCTGCCAGCTCCAACATCCCGTCTCTCCCGTCCCCCCCATTCTCTAGCAGGGCAGTAATGATGAAGTGAAACAGCTTGAGCTTATTGCAGCCTGCTTTTTTCAGGGGGGGGGGGCTGTTAAAATTAATGCTAGTTGTGTTTTAATGCAAACAGCCTTGAATACCAACATTAGTAAAATGTAGGATTAGAAATGGTCTAAAGAAAGACAAATAAACTTCACCTGGAGTTTGGAAACCAAAAGCCGCTTAGCAGCAGTTCCAATAGTAGGTGTTTTCTTTCCCTATTAGTCTTTCAAACTGGAGGAGAAACAGAGCAAGCCTCTCTTTATATATATAAAATTGTGTGTGTGTGCAAGAAAGTGTTCTTTCAGCTAAAGGACACCCCCCGAAAGAAATAAGCTCAAATGCCAAAGCTGCATATATAAGGTGTTCTGCTTAGCCTTAAAGCAGTATAAATCAGCATCTGCAAAACTTGATACACAGCCTGGAGGTAGTAGCCTTTCTATCATTATCTAAGAATTCTCAACTTAAAGATGAGTTTGTGTTGGCTTGTCCTAAATTGATCTGAGACCGAGCACTGATTTCCTCCCTTTCCCCCTGAAAGGCTGAACGAAGCAATGGTGATGTACCTCACTTTTCTGCTTCCTAAGTGTATGAGGGAGGAATTTGACAATTTTAGAACAGTGCTGCAGCTGAGCCAAACACATTTTATGGGGCACGTGGGAGATTTAACGCTGCGATTGACGGCATCAATCATAGTCTGTCTTGCGCTTTCAAAGATGCTAATTAATTGAGTTCTGCCTCCCAAACCACAAACCTCCCCCCCCTTTTTTTTGCTAAAGAGTTTGTGGGTTCCTGTCACTAGCAATTGACTTGCCAAACTGAAAAAGCGAGAGGAGGAAATCCCTCCTTGAAGAGCAGCTGACGGCAGCATCTACCCAAACGGTGGTCGGGTTTCTTAAATACTAATTTGTAAGATATATAAGTACCTGCCTTTCTCTCTCCCTTTCCTCCGTGCCCCCCTCCCCCTACTTTTCTCTCTCTCTCCCACCCCACCCCTTTCTTTTTTTGCGGTGTGATTGTAAGTAACGCTTGCCTTAAGAATCTCATTATTTGAACACGGAGCCATATTTCCTCTGAGAATTCTGGAGTAGCTTTGAGCCGAGGCTGTTCATTTCTCAAGTAATCATGCCGGCATGATGGAGAGAGAAAATGGCAGCTGTTTGCAGCTCAGGCCTTCAATTTTCTTCAGAGTCCAGTCACTCAAGTGTGTAATTACATGGGGGTGCCAGAGAGGCGTTAGGCCTTGTCAAAGAACCCGTCTGAGGCGCCGCGCGCCGCCTTTGCCAATCAGGGCAGGCCGGAGCCAATGGAACGCCACGGCGCCGCTTTGTTTTTTCTCTTGTTGTTTGATGATTTCTTCCTGTGAGGAAGGGGCTTTAAACTTCTTTTCTTCTCCCTTCCCCAACCGTTCTTCTCCCCAACCTTCCCCCCCCCCCGGCTGTTGTTCACCTGTGCCAGTTGTGAGGGGTTTGAAAAGTGAGAAGGAATTGACTGGCTCTGTGGAAATCCCTGACACAAGGCCCCACTGAAAGAGCCCCGCTGGATCAGACCCGGAGGTCTGGCCGGCTCAGCAGGCTCCTGCCAAAAGTGGCCAGCCAGGTTTATTTATTTATTTTCCCTCCAGGGCAGCTAACGTGGTCTCTTCTCCTCACAACAGCTCTGTCAGGCGGGGTAGAGCGAGCGAGAGTGCCTGGCCACTAGTGAGCTGTGAGGCGGGGTGAGGATGTGACCGTGGGTCTCCCTAATCCCTGCCCCCAGGCTGGCTGTCTGATGAATGGGAAGCCCCAAGGCAGAGCCCTTCTTTGCCTCTCAGCAACCACCCCTAAACATGGAGGTTCCTTTCAGCCACGGAGGCTGAGGGTTATTGCTAGAATGTTCTCCAACAACAAAAAAAATAGTTTCCTTTTGAAGTGATTGAAGCTGGTAACCGCCGCTGCATTTTTGTAACGGTGCTTGGCAGAGGAACTTAAATCTTGAGGTAGGCAGACACAAAGAGACACCTGCAAGTCAACAACTTGTTCTCCAAAGACTTCCCTGTTTCTCCCTTTCTCAGAAATCGGGCTCCTGCCATTGTTATTGATGCTGATGGTATATTCAGTGGCGGGGCCAGATAACTTTCTGATGGGCCTCCTGCTGGCCCCCCCCCCAGCCTCACTGGCCTCCAAGTCTCTCGTACACTCAGATGTTTGAAGCTTGCCTTATCCTGCGTCACACCGTTCGTCCATCTACTCAGTGCAGTGAACTTGGGCAGGCAGTGGCCCTCCAGTGGTGGTCTTGAGCAGGAAGAAGGGTGTTCCTAATTCCTAATGTGGAGACGCCTGGGACCTTCTGCCCTTTCTAAATGTTAACACGAAAGAAACCCTCTGAAACTACCGTCCTGTGCCAGCCCGTCCAGTTCAGTATTGTCTACTCTGATCGGCAGCCACTTGCCAGACCTTTCCCAAGATCTCCTGTTTGAGATCCTTCGAGTGGAGAAGCCAGGGACTCAACTTGCAATCTCCTGCGTGACAAGCAGGAGCTCTGCCCCGAGACACAGCCCCTTCCCCTGTTCCATAGGTCAGTCGTGACAGGTTTGGAGGCCACCTTCCTTTTGTTGGGCTTGTTGACTCTTGGATTCAGTGGGTGGCTTGGTATGTTTCATGTCTCGAGAGCAAGACGGAGATTGGAGATCGCCTCCCTTGTTCTCTCTGCACTGCTCAGGACAAACATCTGCAAGCCTCTTTTTCTGATTATTTTCTCCAGGATCAGCTGTGTGGGAGAGATCCAACCCTGACGGATGAGCTGATCAATATTCTGACAGAGCTAACCCAGCTCAGTAAGACCACCAACGCCAAGGTGGCACTGCGAGCCCGCCAGGTAAGGGCCGTTCTTTCCACTCTCCCAGAGGTGACAGGGCAGACGGTCTCGTATGACTCTTCTGACTCCATGGGCTTTTGGGTGGTTTTTTAAGGGTGTTTGTGGGATATTCCACAACCCCCCTCATTGGTGTCCCTGACGTGTCAGTGAGCTTTCATTGACCCCAATTATTGTTTGAAGTGTTTCTGTTTTTTCCATACTCTGTTTTAGATTTTTCCCCCTTGTCATTTATTTTATTGTTGCATTGGAGCTGTCCTGAATTTGATGTTTGGAAGCTGCCTCATGAGGCAAGCTGAGCACACTGTGTATAAATCTCTGGGATCTCTGAAAGGCCACCCGTGGCACCCCCTTTGTTTTGTTCTTGTGGCCTTCTTGGGATTTTTTGCCCCCAAAGCCTCTTGAACAGGACCCTCCAAAAACTTATACCAGTTAGTAGGATCAAAAGTGAGAAAAACCTTACTTCTTTTCTGTCTTCCCAATGGGGACCCAAAACAGTGTATATCATTCTCCACTCTTCCGTTTTATCCTCACAACAACCCTGTGTGGTCGGCTAGGCTGAGAGGGTCTGACTGGCCCAAGGTCACCCATCAAGCTTCCAGGGCAGAGTGGTGATTTAAGCCACATCCTGTTCTTACAGGCTAACCACTGCACTATGCTCGCTCAAATCACACCACACCACACGTACATCACTTGCGATCCATGCTGTGAAATTAAGAAAGCAAAAAAAGTTATCATTTTTTGGGTGTGCAGGTTCATAGTTTTAATGATGCTAAGTTTTGATATACTGGGCTTTTATTTATTTTTTTCTTTTGGAGATGCTCGGTGATGGGAGAAGGCCGCAGTTGTTCAGTCCAGTTGAACGTATTCTGAGGGAAATAGTCACAGTGATTTTCAGGATGTGCTTTCAAGTATTTAGACCACTACTGAAATGTTACCTTGCTGCAGTACTTACAACAGGGCTGTGAGGTTGGAGGCTCTTTCCTTATGGGGATGAGTTAAGTGGTGTGGAGTTTTTTGGTTGAGAGAAAAGGAGGTCGTTTTTGCTTTAGCAGCAAAGAAAATTCAAGCTAAGCTAGTGTCAGCATAGTCCACTTAAGAATTTAACTATTCAACAGACATTTATGGGAGTTTTCCCTTTCCTTACGAAAGTTTTAAAATGTAATTTTCATAGTGTCTTAATCTAATTTTACCGTACTGTATTTTATTGTATATTATTTTCTAATGGCCATTGGCCCTTTGCAATAAAAATTGACCTGAACTGAGAAAAGACCGGAGCAGGAGGGCATGATAGAGGTTTATAAAATTAGGCTAGATTTGGGGAAAGTGGGTAGAGCATAATTTTTCTTCCCCTCCCATAGTGCAGGAACTTGTGGGCACCCAGTAAAGTTGATGGATGGTAGATTCAGGACAGACAAAAGGAAGTGCTTCTTTATTAAGAACGTAAGAGAAGCCAATGTTGGATCAGGCCATTTGCCCATCCAGTCCAACACTCTGTCACACAGTGGCCAAAAATACCAGGTGCCATCAGGAGGTCCACCAGTGGGGCCAGGACACCAGAAGCCCTCCCACTGTTGACCCCCCCCCCCCACAAGCACCAAGAATACAGAGCATCACTTGCCCCAGACCGAGAGTTCCTCTCTATACCTTGTGGCTAATAGCCACTGATGGACCTCTGCGCCATATGCTTATCCAATTCCCTCTTAAAGCCGTCCTTGCTTGTAGCCGCCACCACCGCCTGTGGCAGTGAATTCTGTGTGTCAATCACTCTTTGGGTGAAGAAGTACTTCCTTTTATCCGTTCTAACCTGACTGCTCAGCAGTTTCGTTGAGTGCCCACAAGTTCTTGTATTGTGCGAAAGGGAGAAAAGTACCTCTTTCTCTACCTGCTCTTTCCCATGCATAATCTTGTAAATCCGAAGACTCCAGAGGGGAGAGGTTAGGGGAGGGTTGCCATGGCTTCTCCTTCTTCTTCATAGCAAATCCAGTATTGGGGGAGGGAAGAGGAGGCAGGAATGGTTCCCAGATTCCCCATCTCAGCTGGGCAGTGAGGAGGAGCCGTGGCATGGTGGCTTCTGTAAGCAAGAGTGATGGGATGAGCCTTAGACCAGCGAGCTCACTTTGGCAGCACCCTTACGAGGGCGGGAGTGCCCCCTGTAGGCCTCTTTCGCAGGCTGGCATACATCCCTCCTCGATCCTTGGCCTGTGGTCTTCAGAACAACAAAAAAAGTAAATTGAGTCCAGTTCCAGTGTTGCTACCAGCGCAGCATTGTAGGCTGTGATGTTGCTTCAGCGCCAATGTCATCACTGGGTCCGTAGGCTTTTGCACTTAAGCTGCAGAGCCACCTGGTTGTAGCACCAGAGGCCAGGGGTCCAAACTGAGAAAGGGGCCCAAAAAGGAAAGCAGAAATGCAGACCGTCAGACATGAGAGGGGTAAGACCAATCGAGATCAGGCAGGACGATCAGAGGATATGTGAGGCAGGTAGAAGAACAGACGGGAGAGAACGGGAGAGAAGTAAAGACTCTCACAGTTCCCCAGGGAAAGATTCACGCCTGACCTGGAAGTGGTCGTAACCAGGTGAGGTCAAGAGGAACCATTTTGTTGGTGGTTGGAGCTATGCTGGGAGATACAAATTGTTCGTTTCTTCCTCAGACTTGGTGCATTTATTGGGAGGCATGTCACGTGGATGTGGCATAAGAGCCATGTTCTATGCCGCTCAGCTCTTTCCTCCATTCTTCTTCAGGAGGGTATGCCTTAGTTCCTCATTCCCATCCTGTTCCCAGTCTTCGTAGAACTGATTTAATGGAAGGGTACCTGTTAGCTTCATTCCCCATACACTGTGTCCAGAGTCGCTAACAGCAAGATACAGCGAAAATTATTAATACCCAACATTAACAAAACAGCAGCAAAAGATAAAATAAATAATTTCAGTTAGGAGTATTAGAAAACCCATCCAAACAGGTTTAATATAAAACATTTTTGGTGAAAGTTATCTCATTATAACAGCATTCACAGTAGTCCTGGGCAAATAAAACAAGGTTTTTCATCTCGTGCCTAAATGTAAAGGATTAGGTGCTGCGTGAATGGCTTTCTTCATGGGGAGGTGCTAGCACCAAGAAGGCTCTGTTTCTGGACACCACTGCTCTTACTTCTGGAGGCTCACAGATCACAGGATTGTGTCTTTTAACTGGTGGGAAGATTGATACCACAGAGAATTTATAGTCCTTCATTTGCTTGAATGATTTATGGGCCGCTGTGAACAATAGCATGGGTGCCATAACGCAGCTTAAGGACATTCAGAATCTATGGATAGGAGGCGAGGGAAAAAGCCAGAGGAACACAGTGCTCACTTCCTGTTCCTCTTTGGGATACACCATTTGGATGGCCGTGTAGGTAAAGTAAGTTGCCCGATCATCCCTGCAGGGCAATGCCCTGTTCACTAGGTGTTGGTCAGCACCCAAATAAGCAAGTCACCAACCGAAATACGTTAAGACTGGGATCCTTGGAACAAAGCAGGGTACATTGCCTGGAATTCACAAGGGAAAGGAAATGTGGCTTGTAAAGGGAAGGTAGCGGCATCTGAGCGGCTCCCTGGGGGCAGCTGAAAATTAGTTTCTTCTTTAGAAATGAAATCAGAAAAAAAAATCTTGATAGGTGTCCCTTTTTTCCGAAGGTTACCCATCTTAGATTCCAATTTAAATACCAGATGTACACCTGGAGAGCTTTTTTTAAGCCCATCTCGGCAGCGAGTGGCTTCTCTATATAATTAAAATAGTGGGGGGAAAGACCGAGAAGGATCTAATTGTCTCTCAATAATTCTACCCCCCTGGAAGCTTGTTTCCTCTCTGCGCTATCCTGATTTCCATTCTAAAAGTCTTGCAGCAGGGAGGCTAGCTTAAAGGGGGGGGGTTTAGAAATCTCTGCCTGGTCCCCCCCTTAATTCCAGTGCATGAGCATTGAAAATGAGCAGGCGTTTGAAGCCGCTCGGTGACCTTTTCTGTCTTCTGCCGAATTGCAATCCCTGCCCTTGAACTACTCAGAGTTACTGAACCTCTCAGCGGCACACTGGGGATGCTGCCGATCTCGCGGAGGTCTTTATTGTACTGCTGTTGGGCATCGTGGTGGCGTTCCTTTCCCTCTTCTTGCTGGTTTGCGGCTCTCGAAGCTGGGCCCGGGTCCCCCTCCAGGGCTTCACTTCTTGAAATGAGAGTTTTTTCGGCCTCAGCTCTGCCCTGAGTTCAGAAGCCCTTCCTCTGAGTCATCAGAGTTGCAGGCCGCAGTTGGTCCAAAGAGATGGGGCACCGGGAGATGCGTGATTAGATCTCTCCAGCCTTTTAAGAACAGGAGTTCTGTGGGGCTGTAACTTGGATGGAGGGGCCACATAGGGTTGCCAACTCTGGCCTAGGAAATTCCTGGGGATTTGGGGGCAGTGCCTGCAGAGAGGGGAGTTTGGGGAGGGACTTTCACCTAGAATCTGTGCTACACCATGGAATTTGCTCTCTGTCAAGCTAACAAAATAAGTTATTACAAAAGTTCAAATATTTATTATGGTGTTCACATCAGTAAAAGATAAAATACAAAAAATTAGTAAAAGATAAAATTCAAAAATACAAATATTTATTATGGTGATCCAACTATAAGACTCTTAAACCTTTTTACACACAGAGCTGATAGTTTTACATATACAGTTGATGGGTATATCTTATGATCAGTAGACCATATGCATTTTGGCCCCTTAGGGCCTTCCTCAGTGGTCAGTATTACTATCGTAAAACAACACACAGCCAGAAATAAATATATGAAAAAAGATTTTCTTTAGAGCCAGGTGTTGCTTTCTCATGTTTACACAGCCGGCCATGGATAAGCTCTCATGGTAACTACACATGCTCTCCCGATTGTTCTGGTAAAAAATATCCAATGTGTCTGGTTGTGTGTCTCTCCCATCAAAGGGAGTAATCAACTTGCATACTGTTTACATTATGTAAGTATATAGTAGGACCCTAGAATCTGTGCTACACCATGGAGTTTGCCCTCTGGAGCTGCCATTTCCTCCAGGGGAACTGATCTGGAGACCTGCTGTAATTCTGAGAGATCCCAGGCCCCACCTGGAGGCTGGCAACCCTAGGACTGCAGGGAGAAGGGGGTGGGGGTTAAGCTCTCCTGTCTCCCTACATGGTTTTGCCAATTGAAAATGGTCTGCCCAATCTTTGATATTAGCCCCCGGGGAGAAGTGCCTGTCTCCGCTCCACCCCCCAGCTTTTGAAGTTTGCAACAGTATTTTTAAGGAGCATATTAAGTTTTGATTAGTGGAAGAAGAAGAAGAGGAGGAAGAGGAGATTGGATTTATACCTCGCCCTTCACTCAGAGTCTCAGAGGGGCTCACAAACTTCTTTCCCTTCCCCTCCCCACAACAGATGCCCTGTGAGGCAGGTGAGGCTGAGACTGCTCTGACAGAAACTGCTCAGCTCTGACAGAACTATGGCTTGCCCAAGGTCATCCAGCAGCTGCAAGTGGAGGAGTGGGGAATCAACCCCGGTTCTCCCAGATTAAAGTCCACGCTCCTAACCACTACACCAAACTGGCTCTCTGGAACTGTGTGGGTGGAAGAGTTAATCCCCCCTCCCCTCTGCATGGCCCTTGACTACTGTTTTACGGATCAGATTGTGGCTCTCCTGACGTCTCTTTGAGTTAGGTCCTTAAGGCCGTCATCCTCAGCACGGTTCTTGGGAGTAATCCCCACTGAGAAAAGTAGGAGGTTAATTCCTGTTAGATGTTGAATCGGTGAGGGCACATTTTAGCTGGGGGGGGGGCTGCAATTTTAAACACACACTTGTTTTTATTTCTTGAACTTGTTTTGGTTATGGTCATGAAAATAGCCTTTCTGAGTCAGACAGGGGATCTCAAGTAGCCCATTATACTGGTTCCAAAGGTGGGCATCCCCTAGTTTCTGGAAGGCACAAGGGCATGAAGGCAATAGATCTGCCCGCTGTCTCTCCTCTCCCCGACAGCTGGTATTCAGAGGTACATGGCCTCTGAACATGGAGATCCATAGGTTTGCTGTAAGGATAACAAAGGTGTACGATGAACACACAGTGAAAAAAAGACTAAACAAATGCTTAGTGCCATTCATTAATTGCTATTCATTAAAGCTCATTCACTACCAAGACAGTCCCTTTTGCCTGTAATTTGTCCCTTGTTCCACAGTTTGGGAAGTTGAGGTACAGAAACAATCTCTGGCTTCTCAGTAAGTTCGTAGCCGTGCTGGGATTTGAACTCTGTGTTCCAGTTGCAACCTCTTTTCCTGGGAGATGGAAACACAATACCTGCCATAACCGCTGTGCCCTTCCCCCTCTTCCTAGGTCCTCATCGCATCCCACTTGCCTTCTTATGAGCTTCGGCACAACCAGGTGGAGTCCATTTTCCTTTCGGCCATTGATATGTACGGACACCAGTTCTGCATCGAGAACTTGCAGGTAGGGGTGTCATGACTGAATATGAATGTAAGTTCTGATTTCTCTTACACTTCTCAGTAAACAACGTTTTTGTTGGTGGTGTTTGTTTTCATTCGTTATTACTCTTTATCCCCAAACACCCTGTGGAGCTGGTGAACTGAAGAAAGGTCTCTGCCACTTTTCAGAATTTGGACCCACCTTTAACCCCTAGTTTTTATTTGGGTTTGCCAACCTACTTCCAGCTGTGGGGCCCGATTCTGATTTGCTGGCTGATCATGACAAAATGTCATGACAAAACATGGTTAGTCTTCCTTAACCATGGTTTGATGTGAGGACTGAATGGAGCCTCAGTGTTTGCCAAATTGTTGATGACTGAGTACATTCCTTAAACCACATGCTGAGTCATAGTTTCCTCTTCTGGCTAAACAAAGTGCCAATTTTTAGAGTGTTGGAAGGATAAATGTTGCATGACCTTAGAAGAGACCTCCCCCCCCCCATATCAGGTTTCTGTAAGAAACACCATTCTGAGTTCTGCTTCTGACTGGAGAGAGCATAGCCAGAACAATGACTACTTCAGAGAAGCAGTGGGAAGTTTCTTCCAGGCAGTAAGTAATCTTGTGGCATGTCTACATCAGGAGTAGATGTGGTCCCTCAATTACATCTGACGCAGGCACACAGCTCAATTACCCCCCCCCCTTCCTGCCAACAAACATTGATTAGGAAGCAGCAAGGTCAAAACAGAGATTATACAGAGGCACAACGGGCAGCCTCCCTTTTGGATGGGTGCTTTGCCTTCATAGAAGCTTTGGGGATTATTGCACTGACTGAACATCATGGATGGGAGAAAAAAAATTATTTCAGATTTACCTGCGCCACATGTTAGTCTGCCCCAAGATTATCCTGCAAAGATAAGATTGGAATTCTGTTCTTTGAAAAAGTGCCTCTTTCTTTCCCCCTCCTAGAAACTTATTCTTTCAGAGACATCTATCTTTGACGTGCTTCCGAACTTCTTTTATCACAGTAACCAGGTGGTCAGAATGGCAGCTCTGGAGGTAAGCTTCCTCTTCTTCCAAAGAATTTAAAAAGAAAGTGCATTTATCTCTTCTAGACTGTGGCCTTTCTTTTTGCAATCCCACCCCCGCCCTAGTCAAGTCACTTTCCTAAAGCACTAATTAAAAGCTGTGTCTACTGTGCACTTACAAACTATCCAAAGAGGAATTTGCACTGGGTTCTGCTCCAACTAGTGAATCCTAACACATTTCCAGGTGTGCTGCTTAACTAGTTTCCTTTTACTAAATCAAACGGAAGTGCGCAGCAGAGCTTCTGAAATATTTCTCTAAATAGTGCTTCAGTGTTTCCAAGCCATAAGGACTAGCAACATTGTTATTGAAAAGGAATCAGGGAGACTTTAGAACACGTGCACAGGTATTGGTATTCAGCGTATGTATCCTTGTACCACCTCAAAATGCATGAGAAGACGACTGTGTTCTTGAAAACAAGTCTGCGTCAAAATCCAGTGGCACATGGATGTGTTAGCTTTCCTGTGCAGGGACGTTTTACCTTCAAGGTGCTGCAATTCTTTAAGAGTGAATTAATTTCTCAGAGTTGGTTTTCTTTGGCTGTTTAACCCCAGGTGTATGTTCGAAGGGCGTACATTGCCTATGAGCTGAACAGTGTCCAGCACCGCCAGCTGAAAGACAGCACCTGCGTAGTAGAGTTCCAGTTCATGTTACCTACATCTCACCCAAACAGGTACCGCTGCAACAATTTTCAGGGAGATGGTGGTGGTGATGGAGACAAAGAGAGAACTAGTAGAGGTTTTAGAGGCCTCTTTTCTGTTGCATTGTGGGAAACCACAGCAGATAAGATCAGGAAGTGTGGATGGTGGTTGTACACTGGTTGCATCAAAAGCTGGAAGATGAATCCAGGTCAGTGCATATGTTAGCGGCCTCCAATGAAAACCATTTCTAAATTATTCCATGTGGTACCCTTTGAGGAGGTATTCATTTGTGGTTGATTTTCTCCACACTGCAGCAAAGGTTGTCCTCTTCTTTTCCGCCTTCATTCGCAAACAGGACATCTCCAGTGGGGTATAATGTCCATGATGAGCAGTTTCTGTGGGGAAACTATGCATGCATCACTCCTTTATAAAATGAACCTCGAGTCTTCTCCGATTTGTAGCTGACGGGATGCACCTGACTCCACAGCTTAAGAGACGTGCATTCATGGCAGTGAAAATCAAATGCTGGTTCACCCAACATTCTTGTTTTCCTTTTTCACCGTCTTTCGATGGGCTTTCTCACTGTTGATTATTTTTAAAAGTCTACTGTGTGAACATCTGTGCTTTTGTTTGTTCTTTTAACAGCAGCCTGATCAAATGCAGGTGTTTTTTTCTTTCTCTATATCTTCCTCCTAGGAGAAATATCACCTCTTGAATTGCAGTGTTACAGGCTGCTTTGAATAGCCCAGGATTAGGGTAATTTTTTAAAAAACTGATAAATCTAAGAGGAAAGGAAAAACATTTCTGAGGATATTCTTGCAGGCAGGATGAAGATCAGGAAAAGAATGTCAGATCAGGTTAGGTAATTGAGGCCTCTTTGTTTTTAAGAGGCCATTATCTAGCACAAAAATTCTTGTGTGCTCTTATGTTAGTGAAGGACAAGTGAAAAGGTATTTCCTGACAATGCTCCCTCTAAGCTGTGGAGCCTTGTGAGCAAAAATGCTCCTTTGTGAGCTCCTGGCATTGAAGTTGTGAGCCAGCGATTTGGCTCCTGCATAAATTAGTTTGCTCTGGAGCCATTCTTCCTGAGCTAAGACAAAAATCTATGAGCCGGAGGCTAAAAAACTGTGAGCTAGCTCACACTAACTCAGCTTAGAGGGAATGCTGATCCCTGGTACGCCCAAGCTACTTACCCATAAAGGTTGGGTGCCTGTTGCAACTCTGCATGATTAGAAACTCCCTGCGAGTTAAAAACAGTGCCCCCCCTCCCCTGAACCTGGAAGCAAAGTAAGAAGAATGGTTCCAGCCTTTTTACCTGAAGGAGAGACAGGGCAGCAGTTCAAAAATGTAATTCTCCCACCTGCAGTCCTTAGTGGCTAAGTCCCACATCACCATCTCAGGATTAGACTTTCCTGCATATTGTAGATCAGGCTGAAGCCGTGGCGGCATGGCGATGGTGGTGGATATCAAGCACTTCTGCCATATGTATGTTCGTGTGCATTGAGTAAGACTGACTTTTCCAATCACTTTTGATGTGAGTGCAGCATAACTGCCTACCCTCAGAGGAGGCTCTCTGTTCCGTTTCTGTATGAGTCGCTGCTCTCACAGTTTGCCTCTCTCCAACCTGGAGGCACTCTCAGAACAGCAGCCCAGACTGAACGAACTCTTCTAACAGGCTCTTTAGTAGACTTTATATTGCTAAGGCTGTTAAGTACTTCTGAATTAATGTTTCCATCAGACGTGTGGGAAAGAAACAATGTGCTGGCGGGAGTTTGAGATCTTTTTTCTTTGGGATCGTGGTCAGTGGAGAATGTGATTTGTTGGCCGTGTCTCCTTTGGACCACTGGGTGCCGCTGTTGATCCATAATAGAGCATCTGGGGGGAATTTTAAAAAGCAAACAGAAAAAAAGGAACTGGTTACCCACCAGCCCCTTTTGGAAAACTGCTATTTTCTCCTTTCTTTGTCTCCAGATATCCTTTGCCTTTTTATTTGATCCTCCTCCTCATTTTATGTTTGACGGGATTGGCCGATGAGGCCCAGTCTCGGTTCATTGAGAATCCATCAGTACATCTTGTGAAATGGGTCTCCCCCCCCCCACCGCCTTCAAAATCTGGTTTTGCTTGAAATGAATGAGTCCTCCAAGCCCAGCTGCACCAAAAATCTCTCTGCAATGATATAAATGGCCCATTGAATTTGGTCTCATCTGTTCTCTTCATCTCGACAATATTTGCAAATAATTGCATGCTGTTTTGGAGGTCCATTTTTTATAATCCTGCATTCCCTCCTCAACAGCCTCAAACTATTCAGTCTTCATTTTCGTCCTCTTCTCTCTCTCTCTCTCTCTCTCTCTCTCTCTCTCTCTCTCTCTCTGTGGCTCCCCATTCCCCAGCTGGCGTATCTTCCATAGATCTCCTTCAAGCGCCTGAGTCCAAAGAGTTGGCCAGAGTTAGCTAGAGACCGAACATCTGCTGGAGAACTGTATTGTTGGGCACATGACCTTTCAGCAGTGGGCCTGAGCAGTTATCGACCATGATCTCACATGTCTTGTGCCAGGTTGGCCCGTCCGTCTGTTTTTAGCTCAGAATTGTCTCCCCTAGCTGGCCATGACTTGCTGAGGTCTCAGGCTGCCTTTGCTAACTCCTGCTACCTAAGATATTTTCATTGTCAATGCCCAGAATTTCAGATTAGAGTCCTCCATGCACAGTAGGAGCTATACCACTGAGCCACAGTCCTTATGCAAAAACATTGTTCTTACTATCTCGAGTTTGTGAACATATGAAACTGCTTCTGCTCTGACTGCTGGAGGCTCTCTTTCTCAGGCAGGAGTTTCGCCGTCCAATTCAAGGCACTGGTTATGACCTTTTGAAGCCCTTCAGCTGCATGGGACCCCCGTATCTTCAGGACCAACTCTCCCTATATGATCCCCCCTCACCCCCTTTGGTCTTCATCACGAGGCCTACTGCAGGTTACTTGTCTGTAAACAGCCCATTTGTCATCCACTAGGGCAAGGGCTTTCTTGGTGGCTGCCGCTGCCCTCTGGAACTAGCTCTCTGAGGAGGTTCATGTCCTGTGGGATCTGCTAAGTTTCCGTAGGGCATTCAAGGCTGCTGTGTTTTGTGCAGCATTTAATTAACCAAGAGAATGGGTGAGCCAGCTGCCTGTCCAGATTAGTTCCAGAGCTGATGACCGGTGAAATTTTAATTGGAATCTGTTTTATTGTGTTTATTGGTTTTATTATCTGTTTTAAGTTTTGGTGCTGTGCTGTGAACCACCCCAAGTCCTCTTTTGAGGAATGGGTGCCAGTTATAAACTGAACTGGGGCAGTGATGCTCTGTATTCTTGGTGCTTGGGGGACCACAGTGGGAGGGCTTCTGGAATTCTGGCCCTGCTGGTGGAGCTCCTGATGGCACCTGGGTTTTGGCCATTGTGGGACACAGAGTGTTGGACTGGATGGGCCACTGGCCTGATCCAGCATGGCTTCTCTTGTGGATGATGATGATGATGATATTAACAACTTAAGAGCCATTTCTCGCCATGTTTCCCTATGCACCATCTCTAGTGGTGTCGATATGGGCAGCAAGGTTACTCTGTTGACTAAGGCTTTAAATGGAGTGCAGGCTGTAGGCATTTTTGGGGTAGAAGGAGGAGGTTATTGGGGTGTGTGTGTTAAAATATGGATCTGTAAACCAAGCCGCAAAGGAAAGGCAGGCTATATAAGTATTTTAATAAACTGAGATGGTTTTTTTGGAGATGCTGGGCATTAAATGTGGAACCTTCTGCCTG